CTAAAGAAAACCTTTTCTGTCAAAGTTGTTTTTACCAACTGCAGAAGTGGCACTGGAAAGCTGGCATTAAAACAGCACGCATCTTGCAGACACATTAAAATCGCTTTTGGGGAAATATAGTGTGAGCATAAAGCCAAAGTAAATCTTTGTAGCTCTTACAAGGAGAGCCATCCATTCACATGGCACAGTATCAATTTCAAATTCAGTAGGTACACAGGAAACTGCGTTGACACTTTATCTCTAATCCTCAGTTGAAATAAATGGCCAGTGGTAGTGCAAGCAGTATAAGACAGGGACTTTAAAAGAAAAAGCAATTGGGCATATGTGTTGTTTAAATATTCTGATAAGTGTTCTGATAAACATGTGTTGTTTAAAGTAAATATTCTGATAAAATTGTATTTCAAAACCCACAGAAGTGCTTAATTCTTCCTGGATGTTTGTTAATGGTTACAGATAATTCCAGGCATTACAAAGGATCAGGAAAAAAGTACAAACTATAAGAACAGTGCTGGTCCCAAAAATACTGTGAAGAGGATTACTTATCAAATAGTATTTGGATAACAGAAGAAGTCTATGTTCTAACTAGACTTCTGTGTAAGAAGTCTATGATCTAACTCATTGCATTATCAATTAGTGTTCATATGTTGGATTCTTTCCTTTTCCAGCTAATTCAGAATAAGAAAATTATGATTAACTTTGAGGTCACAGAACAATCTAGTGTAATAATCCTCTATTTAAATGATTTTTATTTGCACATCCTAATAAAAATGTTGTCTCTAACCTGATGTATCACAAATACTGGATAAGAGAACCCAGGTAAGAGTTATAAAATGATCTATTTTTCAATGGCTATATATCAATCACATATTTAAAAGTAAAGGAATGCAACATCAGATCACACAGACTGATTATCCCATGTACAAATACAGAAATGGTCTAATCGAGTGATTTTTCTCAGCTTTGGAGCTTCACCAGTTTTCAAGAGGGGCACAGATTCTTAGAAAGCAAATAGACACCTGACAGTATGCTCATTTTTCTCAGTTAACTTCCCAGGATGGCTTAGATGTGCCCTGGGGCCCAGGAGGAGACCACTCCTCCTCTCTGCTGGTAACTACTGTTGTGATCAACCACCTGTCAAAATGCAAGATTCCCCAAACCTATATTGTTCCCGACAGAGGAAATTGCGAGTCTCCTGTCACTGAAAGTTTCTAAGATAAAAAGGTCTGTGCCAAGGTTCACTAGCCTTGTAGTCAGAGAATTTTCTGATGTCTAACCTGACTGCAGTTTGAATTATTTCTGTCTGTCAGAGACACGGACGACAGATGCTTCTCTTCTGCTTTCTAATAGCTTTTCATATATTTGAAGCTTGGGTTTCTTTGTAATTGTGCGTTTGACCATTCCTGCCTAAGTATAGTTCTTTGCTCTTGTCCTCACTGAATTACATCCCAGGTATTTCTGACCATTTTCCAGACTAATTTTGGTAGAAATGAGTAGGCCAAAAATTCAGTCCCGAACAACAACTAGACTTGGAAAGAGTTGGTTTAGCTCACAGAAGACAGCACTGAGGTGGCAGGAACTGGACGGTAGGGGTCTGAGGCAGCGAACAAACGGGCCTCTGCTCAGCCTATGTTCATTAGGAATCTCATTGTCCTCTTCATGAAAATGGGTAGGAGTATTTCTACAGTGTGTACCAATTTCAAGTCTTTGAGCTCACAGTTTGAGAAAACTTACAGGCTGAAAATGACTACAGATCTGGTAAAGTCAGGACTGGTAGTATAACTTTTTAAGACTCTGTTTTTTGTTTTGAATTCATATTATCATTAAAGGTAAAAATACAGTTTAAACAGTACTGGAAACTCCTTATGTTAAATAACCTCCATACTCTGTGTGGGTATTTCTGACCTTGGGTAGGGAAATTTTTTTTTATATAGTTGTTTCAAACAAATTAAGTGTAATATTTCTGCACAGTGTTCTGTATTTACAAACACTGGAACCTCTGTGACATACAGAATGTAAATTATGTGAACATACAGAAATCAGTTGTTGCACATACTGGTAAATAAATGCATTTACTCCAGAATACCAAAGAGTTTCTTTACAAAATTTACTTTGTAAAAGCATGTTCTTGCAGGTTTATCTAAAACTTCGTATAGGTCTGAACAAAAATGAGATGCCTGACTAATCAAAACAGGTCAAGACAGTCTTGTGTACAAACAAACATAACATATTGCAGGCATTATGAAAAAACATGACTGGTTAAATATTAGTTTTCAAGATTAAGACTTTTTGTCAATTTTCATGTTTTCCACTTTTTAAAGCCCATATAATTTAAAGGTAATCTGGACCATAACATACTCAAATTCTACTGTATGTCATTGGTTTATTTAAGAAAGAGAGATGAATTAGAAGATGTTTACTCTGGGAATAAAAACCCAACCCTAACTAAACTGCTTTTTTGTTTTATGGGGACAGAAACATTCATGTAGAACCTACATTTTCTACTTCTAGAAATTTAAGTAAACAAGTCGGAAACAAAGATCTGTTTTTCTTTGCAGGCAGATATAGTTCCAACACATTCTAAAATGCGTTTTTCTACAGCTGCTCTCAAACACTGGATCTTTCAGACTGTCGTTAGTTGGATGAAGGCAGTATTGGGAAATACAAAAACAGTTCAGTGTCTACTAGGAACTCTCAAAAATTAACTGCCTCAAAAGTATTTACTTTTTGAGATGCTTCCAAAGGTATATCAAATTACAAAACATCCACCACAGATATATTTTCCCTTGTTCCCCTACTCTTAAGAAACTGTTCAAAAAAGAGAAACAAAAGCCTCGGTCTTGTAATCATGGGGTATGGATTGACTCACTGCGTGGATCAATGAGTGAAAAGTCAACTCAAAGGAAAAAGGAAGAGCAGATGGTTATCTGTAATAAATACAGACTCTTACATGGAGAGCATTTAAGAGATTTTTTTTTTTTAACCTTTTCCACATAAAGATTTTACTTGTTCAAAATTATTTTAAAAGGGGTTTCAAATAAGAGTCTTTTAGAGATATTTTGCAATAATTCACTCCAAGGCAAATTAATTTCATGGTTTATGCTGTCAGTGTGAACAGCAGGAAAGAAGACTGCGTAATCCCCAGATATCACCAGTAGAAATTTTTTAAGACTATATACATATGTGTATGTGTGTGTGCACAGCACATATATTTGCACATCTAACATTAGAAAATGTTGGGAAAGTCATAAATTAAACCTACTCCTAATACTAGGAATCCTGCCATACTGGGCATGTAAGTGTGCCCCCTTTATACTTTGTATATAACCTCCAGATTTTTGTTTTTGTTTTGAATTTTTTGTTTTGAATTTTCATGTCACTGAGTACAGGATTTTTTTATTTGAAATAAACTGTTAGTTTTAATCACAAGAAAAGAATTTTACATTTTTAAGATACTAGCAAAATTAACAAAGCTCCAATATTTGTCTTTTTTCATACATGTTTTACAGTAACTCATTGTAAGAGGTTTGTTTCTTATAGACCTTGTTTCTCAGGGAAGCTCCCTGTGTGATTTGCTAATTCTTGTGCAGGGTCAGTTATTCAGTATTATCTCTTAAAACATGGGCTACTATTAGCAATGTTTGTTTTTCTAAATGCCCTATGTAGTTGCAGTAATGACATCATAGAATTTTATAGCACATTTAATAGAAAAGGTCAACTTCACTGATAGACATTTTGGATATCACTTTTAGGGTGAACAAGGCTTCATGGGATGTACATAAGAGCAAAATTTGGCCTCCCTGCCAAATCCACTTTCCAAAGTATTCATATCAATACTGCCCAATTTTTGAGATCCAGATAAGCCCACTTTTAAACAAAGACAGAGAAGAGGACATTAGGGCTCTTGTAGAGAGATGCACATGTGTCATTATGGAGACACAACAGAAGTTAGAAAGAAACTTTCAGTTATACCAGCAGGCTTTGGATTAGGCCCTAAATAGAAATAAGTGGATGAAAATGTCATCATGAAGAAATCTGCACATAAATCAAGATGTTTCGGAGAGAAACAAATGGTATGGGCAGAGTTCTTACCAATATAACACAACATTAAGCAGTGACCATCATGTCTATCAATGAATACTGAAATCCATTACTCACCCTAAGCGATGCCAAGCAACGTGCCAATTCTCTGGCAAGAAATCACCCTACTGCCATTCCCCAGCACATACTACTGCCTTGCCTGCACGCTGGAGTTCCTCTCCATCTGTAAATGGAGCTTGTTTCCACTTTTGTTTGGTTTTCTGTAACTACATTCCTTGGATTGTATATTCCTTTTTCTGGGCTTAGGGTTCAACATAATGCAAGTATAATAAAAAAGTGTTTTCTTCTTATATGCAATGCAAACTCATGAAAATTTCAAATAACTTAAAGAGCCACAGGTCCCAGTTTTTGCCTTCAGGAGGAGCTATTTCTTCAGTATTAGGGGAGCTCTGTCTTAATGGTTTAGGTTCTGCAGTTACTTTGCTAAGCTTCCATGCACATCTTTGCAGCAGTGTCCTCTGACCGGTGACAAGCACACAGGGTGGGAAACAGCACATGGGGAAAAACATACACTTTTACATAGCAGGATGACAGTAAGCATGTAACAGTTGCATTGCTTAGTGATAAACCCATCCGTAATAAACACGTTGTGTGCGTTTTTCTTATATGGTGCCTGCTTGTGTGAATGCTAAAAGGGGTTTTCATCCTCCAGCTCCAGGCAGATATAAATTAAGAAGAAAAAGAGAAAGGAAGATTATTTTCTGAGAAATAAGCATACCTCTGATGGGCACTGTAAAAATAAGCCTAGTTATATGAGCATAATTTACACCATGCTCCTGGCATCAAGATCTGCTATGCTAGTAAAAGAGTTGTTTTTAGCATACAATCCACAGATCTTTGGCATCCACAAAATCCAAAGAAGAAAGCACACAGTTGTCAGGAAGCTTAAATTCATCGTACAGGTGTCAATAAATCAGAGAGAGCTGAAAACCATCCTGTCGATGATAATTCCAATTGCTTCAAGTGCAAACAGGACACAATCCTTGTAGATTACCCTGAGCTGAGCCAGCCCTCTGCAGAAGAGCTGGCAGAAGGAATGGAGGACATGGAAGATGAGGAGTATCTGTGCAATGAAACCCTGCTATCTGATCTCACCATGGGAAGGGGCTGTCGTGATTTAATGCAGAAAAAGGAAGAGATAACTGGCATCAGTGAAGAGAAGAGGGACCTTCATCACAGCCAAAGTGTTGAGGAGTGCTGCTGTTGTTACAAGAATGATGATCCTGCTGTCATAACAAAGAATGCTGGATTCCACTCTGAGCGCTGCAGAGAAGCAGAAGAGCCAGCCCAAGAGGACCCATCTGTAGAGTCTGAAAAAGAATATGCAGCACTGGAAAAGCAAAAAGCCAGTGGTTTAGATGAAACAGGCACAAAGAGAAACTGCAACATGGAAGGACTTGAGAAATAAGGACAGTAGTGGATGTTATCTAGATGGTGAAGGTAGAGGTCATAAACTGTCATTCATGTTTTGTTCCTGATACAGACTGCTCTGTGTTCATCTCCTTGTACCAATTTCATTCCCATGGTAACAATCAATCATATCATCTACCTGAATTGGAAGCCAATCATCATCCAGGGGAGCCCAGGCACAGGATGAGGAGGGGGCTGGAGCCCAGGCACGCAGGGGAGGTGGAGGGCAGTCCCTGTGCCCAAGGGGCAGCAGAAGGGCACAAGGGAGCGATCCCCAGGAAAGGGGCCCTCAGCCCCCCTGATCCCCCTCCTTCTCCCACATGAGGCCATCTTTCAGGCCACAGGCCCCCCCAGCTCCCAGAACA